CAATTAAGCTTTAAAAATTCGTATAAAATTCAGTTCTTGGAATATGAGTATGAAAATTTTCCAAAATGTTAATAAAAGTGTCCTCTTTCTAATGAACCAACCCATTTTGTAAAATAACTTTTAGTTTTTGAGAAAACAATATTTGAAGTTTTGATAAAATTTTCGATGTTGCAATTTGCATCGATAACTTGCAAAATTCGCTATAAAATTAATTTCTTGAAGGATCCTTGTGGAAATATCACCAATTACTAATGAAAGTATCCTCTTTTTAATGCAAAAAGCCGTTTTGAAAAATCACTTTCAGTTCATGAGAAATAAATTTTTGAAATGATCAAGAATTTTTTCGAATTTTGCAATTTTCGCCGATTAAGTTTTAAAAATTCATATAAAATTCATTTCTTGGAGTATGAGTATGAAAATTTCTCAAAGTGTTAATAAGATTGTCCTCTTTCCAATGAACCAACACGTTTTTAGAAATAACTTTTAGTTTTTGAGACAACAATATTTGAAGTTTTAATAAAATTTTCGTTGTTGCAATTTTCATCGATAATTTTCAAAATTCGCTATAAAATTAATTTCTTGAAGAATCCTGCAAAAATCGCCAATTATTAATTAAAGTATCCTCGTTTTAGAGTTGCTTCGTTAGTTATATCAGCATCAAAAAAGTTCATTTTGTATCTTGGATCCAAATAAGTTGACATATCTTATCAGCTTTCTTATTAATTTCATTTTTATTCAAATATCGTAATAATGTGGCAATGTAGGGTATTAAAAAAAAGCAATTGCACTTTTTTGTAATGGATATTTATTAAATTTTGTTCTACCGGTTTCGACTTAACTTAAAGTCATCTTCAAGTTAATCAAAATTTCGGTAGATCAAAATTTAATAAATATCCATTACAAAAAAGTGCAATTTCTTTATTTTAATTTACGATTAATGGAAACAAATAATAATTACTACAAAATATCGGGTATCACTTCAAAAATGACAAATAATCGGATATCCGGCCGAAGGGGATGCCGAATATCCGGTATACAGCTTTTCGCAAAATCACTATCCGTTCCATCACTAGTGAACGACCATAATGAATTAGTGATAGGCAATTCACAAGAAAATTTTCTCAAGTAGCATGAAATAGAGATGTTATAGACAGATTATTTTAAGCTCTGACCCGTTTTTGATAAGTATACGTCCATTGCCAAGAAAATCAATGAAAATACTTTTCAAAGAAACCATTCATCTTCTTCTGACAGGAAGCATAAACGATATGAACGTTATGAACAAAACTTTGAAAGCAATGCAGTTAGTGAGGTAATGATTTGACACATTTACGAGAAAATTAGACTTTTGTCCCACTCTCTATATAAATCATCTTATTTACATTAACATTGTGTTCACAAACGCTAGCTGGCATTCTCGTTGGTATAATATTAACTCTTGATGCTAATCTGGTTTGCGTAGTGATTAATGATAAATCAATGATTCCGATTGAAGCATCAGATAGAAAAATACCAGAACCGCCCATGCCGTCTCTTGGATCACTATATCCCGATGCTAAGAGATTAACTCCATATTTTTTAGCAACGCCGTCTTGTAACGAAAGACCTAAAAGAATTTATTTTTTTTTAAATAAAAAATCAACCGAAAATGTTTGTTCACCTTTAAAGAATGGCGTTTCAGAATGCCAAGAATTTGGGTAGATAAGGTCGGTGACTCTAAGGTCATTCATTAACGTTTCCAACGGGTTTTTGTGCAGAATATCGGCTGTTGATAAAAGACCGAATGTAACACCGAAGCTTGTAAATACCGTAACTTCTTCGCCTGGCGTGAACATGTCTTCGTTAACCAAATTAATTTTACGATATCTAAAATTCAAGTAATATAATTATTTTGATTGATTTCTTATAAACCAATACCTTGCTATTACAGCACCTCTTGTATCAAAAACTACATTAGTATTATAATAAATTATAGAGTTGGTTGATGAATTGGCTTTTTCGATAACATTTATGACGACGTAAACTTGATGTTGAAATGCAGCACAAGATATAAGAACAAGAAACTATAATAAAAAAAAAATTGTAATATTATTTTTAATTAATTTTAGGAGAAAATTTCAGTTTTTATCAGATTAAATTATTTTTTCAATAAATTCGTTTTATAAATGTTCGTTTATTGCGTAACATTCACGCGTTTACTTGTGATAAGCAAAACCTTAGCCCGGATTTGTACCTCACACATTCAATAGGATTTTAAGTATTCACTTTATCTTACGTAAACATTACTCACAGATATACGAATTGTATTAAGTGTAAATACAAAAATTCCTATAATATCGATTACTCACATTTAATATAAAGTTAATAATAAGTTTATTTTATATAATTTTAGGAGCGATTTATTTTTAATTTGGATTTTACTGTATAAACTTACATCTGCATATGGACTCCTTACTCGCATACATGGTGAGGCATCTTCAGCTGGAGTCGGAACATAGGTGCTAATATTTTCCAAATTGTTGGGTAAATTTGGAGTCGTTAAAACGTATTCTGGAAAAACTATGATGTTGGCATTTGATTCGTTTTTAGCTTGTCCAATTTGGAATACGCATTCTCTTGTATTAGTTAAAACATTTTCGAAATCGGATAAACCCGGGTCGTTTTTTAATCCATATTCCATCACCACAGCCACATAAGATTCCTTTTAATAATGTGAATAACACAAGAATTATTAAGTTAATATTAGAAAAGATTTTAATTGAATGTTGAATTTTAAACGATGCAAGAATGATTCATATAGATGTATTACCTCGGCTTTGGAGAAACATCCCATCAATAAAAGTAAGAGTACACAATGAAAACTTTGGAAGAACATCTTGATGCTAATGCCAAAACTGAACTACTGGGATTTTTATTCCTTTTTACAGATCTTTAGCAATTTTTATCGGCCAGATTTAAGTAAATCCTTAGGGATTTGGGAAATTTAGGACACCGTTTTAATCAGCACGATAAACATTTATACAGGGTTTTTCTCAGATGATTACAAAAGTTGAATAAATTTAAAACATATATGTATATTTTTAAATATAAAATCGCAAAAATTAACGTTTTTTATGCAGATCTAGAATAGTAGAGAATTTTATTAAATTATTACAACTATTAATCATTCTTTTCATGTACTCATAAATTTCAATGCCAAAATAAATTATCGCAGGAGACTTTTTTTTTTATTGATGATTTAATTAGTTCATATTATAACCAAAATTCGTTTCCAACTTTGAATAAAATATCGTTTTGGTTAATTATAGAAGTGTCTTTCTTCTTTCCATATCTCCGTAATTANGCCGATTAAGTTTTAAAAATTCGTATAAAATCCAGTTCTTGGAATATGAGTATGAAAATTTCCCAAAGTGTTAACAAAAGTGTCCTCTTTCCAATAAACCAACCCGTTTTGAAAAATAACTTTTAGTTTTTGAGAAAACAATATTTGAAGTTTTGATAAAATTTTCGATGTTGCAGTTTTCATCGATAACTAGCAAAATTCGCTATAAAATTAATTTCTTGAAGGATCCTTGTGGAAATATCACCAATTACTAATGAAAGTATTCTCTTTTTAATGCAAAAAGCCGTTTTGAAAAATCACTTTCAGTTCACGAGAAAAATTTTTGAAATGATCGACGATTTTTTCGAATTTTGCAATATTCGCCGATTAAGTTTTAAAAATTCGTATAAAATCCATTTCTTGGAATATAAGTATGAAAATTTCCCAAAGTGGTAATAAGAGTGTCCTCTTTCCAATGAATCCACCTGTTTTGAAAAATAACTTGTAGTTTTAGAGAAAACAATATTTGAAGTTTTGATAAAATTTTCGATGTTGCAATTGTCATCGATAATTTCCAAAATTCGCTATAAAATTAATTTCTTGAGGGATCCGTGTGGAAATATCACCAATTACTAATGAAAGTATTCTCTTTTTAATGCAAAAAGCCGTTTTGAAAAATCACCTTTAGTTCACGAGAAAAATTTTTGAAATGATTGACGATTTTTTCGAATTTTGCAATTTTCGCCGATTAAGTTTTAAAAATTCGTATAAAATCCATTTCTTTGAATATAAGTATGAAATTCTCCCAAAGTGTTAATAAGAGTGTCCTCTTTCCAATGAATTAACACGTTTTGAGAAAACAATTTTTGAAGTTGTGATAAAATTTTCGATGTTGCAATTTTCATCGATAGTTTTCAAAATTCGCTATAAAATTAATTTCTTGAGGGATCCTTGTGGAAATATCACCAATTACTAATGAAAGTATTCTCTTTTTAATGCAAAAAGCCGTTTTGAAAAATCGCTTTTAGTTCATGAGAAATAAATTTTTGAAATGATCGACAATTTTTTCCTATTTTGAAATTTTCGCCGATTAAGTTTTAAAAATTCGTATAAAATCCATTTCTTGGAATATAAGTATGAAAATTTCCTAAAGTGGTAATAAGAGGGTCCTCTTTCGAATGAACCAACACATTTTGAGAAATAACCTTTAGTTTTTGAGAAAACAATATTTGAAGTTTTGATAAAATTTTCGATGTTGCAATTTTCATNATTAATCATTCTTTTCATGTACTCATAAATTTCAATGCCAAAATAAATTATCGCAGGAGACTTTTTTTTATTGATGATTTAATTAGTTCATATTATAACCAAAATTCGTTTCCAACTTTGAATAAAACATCGTTTTGGCTAATATTATAGAAGTGTAATTCTACGACAAATTGAGAAGTCTTTCTTCTTTCCATATCTCCGTGATTAACAGATTGGCGCTTTATTGATTATTACGGCTTCTTGCGGCATTTACTTCTGTAACTATTGGTAATGCCGCAGTCTGTGTAAACCGTTACTTGTTTGAACACGAGTCTGAATGGTGACATTTCGTGAATTTTCGCACACTTGCATAAATTTGTTTGACATTTCTTCAAAAACCCTTGGCCCTCGAAGGCAGAATTTTAGCTACTAATCTAACGCAGAGAGAATTCAATTTCTGGGACGTCTTGATTTTTCAAAAGTGTGTCTTCACACGTTTGAATTTGATTTCTAGAATACGGCGAGGCAATAATTTCTTTCTTGGTTCCAATTTTATAAAGTCCATCTTGGTGTCTCCAAAAGTACGCCAATTAAGTTTTGCACATCTCCTTTGCTCCTGCCAAGGCTTGGAACAGGCACAGTAATTGATGTTCCAACCTCAATCGGGGGAAATTTTTTATTAGGTGTAAACTTCATTTTCTCTGCCTGCTCTTTCAATCCTTCGGCAGCTTCCTCTTGATTTGAAATCATCGTTTTTCTTTTTGCACACCGAAGACATAAAACTGATGCTCCGTAACCCTCGTTGGTATTACTTTTACTCTAGACATGAACATCCTGCGCACAGCTATAACACTTGTGGACTCCTGAAGTTTTTTTTTCGCTTATAATAATAATAATATATCTCTTTATTATCCAACAGGAAGACCCAATTACAGGATAATGTACAACAAAGAGAAGAAAAGGTAAAGTGAGATGTGAAGCGCACAAAACAAAAATTAATAGCAATTCAGATAAATTCAAAACAAAAACAAGAGAAAAAAAANAGAAAGAAGTATTCCATGATCTAATCTATCAAATGCCTTTGTAAAATCTGTGTAAATTATGTCAACTTGTTCCCGTTTATCCATGTGCTCGCTGATGAACTGCGTTACCTCTGCTAAATTAGTCATAGTTGAACGACCAGTCATAAATCCGTGCTGATGATCAGATATGTATGGGCGAACACAGTAACTCATTCTGGAGTATAGCAACATTTCGAAGACTTTCGAGCAATTGTTCAAAATGCTAATAGGTCGGTAATTTTCAATACTAAATCTGTCTCCCTTCTTAAAAACCGGCGTTATCCGAGTTTTTTTCCATACTGCAGGAAAAGTTTTAGTTTTTAAGCATAAATTAAACATAAAGGTTAAAGGTTTGCTGAGGAAGGGTGCACAATCCTTAATAATAAAACTTGGGAGACCGTCGTTGCCAGCGGTAGAGTCATTTTTTAGTCGTTTCATACAGATTTCTACCTCCTCGATAGAAAATGGAGTAATGTAGATAGTTGTAAGTCTAGGATTGAAGGCTTCAGAAAACAAGACAGAGAAGGCCTGCACTATTTCCAGGGGATCAGAGATTTCAGAGCCAGCAAAGGTCATACAGCCTGGAATACGCGAATTATCATGTTTCTGATTCACGTAACGCCAGAAATTTTTGGGGTCGGTCAATATACAATTTTCGGTATTCACGAGATAAGCCTGATAATCAGAAACTATTGCATCCTTGGATAAACGACGCAACCTAACATATTCATCGTAATATGATAGCTGTTTAGAACTCTTCCACTTCTTAAAGTAGTGCTCCTTCATATTCAATATACGCTTAGTGCTTCCAGTAAACCATAGAGGAAATTTCGACGGCGATAAGCAGTATTTGGGTACATGTTTTTCAATAACGTTATAGATATTATAGTAAAATTTTTCCACAGCAATATTAATATCCGAGCACATCAATATATCAGACCAGACAACACGACCAATATCGTCATACAATCCACGAAAGTCCGCTTTACGGAAGTTAAAACGAAGGTTGTTATTTGATGGAAACACTAGAGCATCTTCAATATTCTGAGATTTAATGGAGATGTTCAGTGCAGGATGATTAAAGTTTTCAGTAAGTAAGGGTGCAACGTCACGCTCTGCAGTTACTTCGCAGTTAAAGTTAGTAAATACTAAGTCGAGTATCCTACCTCTAGAGTTGTAGATATGGTTATGTTGAACTAGGTTTAAAGTATCAACAAAGTTCTTCAAAAGGAAAGATTTGCGGTCGAGGCTATTCTCGGACATCACAAAACGGAAGCAATTAAAGTCGCCACAAATTATAATATTCTTTCCAATCAAGCTGATACTAAGCGAATCAAGAAACAGTTCCAAATCATCCAGCGGAACATCAGGAGGTATGTATAGTGTAATAATAAATATGCTGATCGAGAAATAGACACATTTACCAACAACCACATCAATTAGCGGGGCAAGATTTAAAATCTCGGACATATCACAGTTGAACAATTTGGTTTGCTGACTGCAGGCAATAAGAACGCCACCGCCCACTCTTCTATCCACAAGACGGTGATTACGATCATTTCTAATTACATTAAATGTAGTAGGCAGCAACTCAGAGTTGGTGATGTCCGGAGAAAGATCGAAATCGGTAGAATTTGTGACTGTGTATAATTGGTGAGTTTTTGTTTGTAGTCCTTGCACATTCTGATAAAATAAACGAAGTGTGTGGCTTATGCAACAAACAGGTTCCAATTTTACCATATCAACACCAAGGGGAAGGGTTGTTCCTTTAGTATTTTCTGCATCAGGAAACGGAATTGATCCTCCAAGACTTTCTGCATTAGGACCACGAGTGGAATTCTTTTGCTTCACATAGTTGCAAGTGCCTCTTCCAGATCTTCTTCAGTTCTAAGAATTTTTTTGATAGAATTAGGCAGTGACTGTATTTCGATATAAGCGTTTCTTCCTTTAATGAAATAGAAACTGTTATTTTTTTTTGTACTTTACTGAAATTATTGTAATAATTTTGCGAGTGTCTGGATTTGCCATGGACTATTGCTTGCTCGGGCCACACTTCTCTTAACTCTTCAACTACCCGATTAGCAAACTCTCGTCTGATGACCGACTGCAACACTCTAGGAGTTCCCAAAATACAAAAAACATCCAATAATGTGTGAGCCACTTCCTCTGCTGTCTTCGTCTTCAATGGATGTAAAATTATAATCTTAGTTAGATGATCCTGGTAGTTAAAAATATATCGGAAATCACAATCACGACAATTCTACATATCTATGAGATCGACGTGTCCTCGGGAATTTACTTTTTTGAATAACCGGGGTTTAACTGTTAATCCGTTTTTAGGTTGGTTCCTTTTTTTGTGGCATACTTGACAGAGCTGTGAACAGCAAATTATTGTTTCTCCTGTTACGTTCGCATATTTTTTGCCTAGCTCTTTTATCATTCTATCTCTTCCACCGTGCCCACATTCACGATGAACGTTGTGAATTACGTCAAAAAGATCGTCATTTGTAACAAAATATTTTACATCAGTAATTTGATCAGAAACCGGAAGTATTAACTTTTTTTATCACCTAAACGTAGCACATCCTAACGTTTAAGGCGATGATATTGCAACGTAGATCATAGTCTTACTTGCTTTCTTTGCAGCTCCTACTTCTTTAATAATTTCCTGGTGTTGCTTACTTTCAATTAGAAATGAATTTGATGACGTGTTCATGTTCATTAATTAATAAGTAATTCTGTTTCGGCGTTGGTTGCATTTATTGCACTTCTCATTTTGAAATAGTTCGAAAAACTTTTATCTCGAAGTACACTCAACCGCAGTAAGGGAAAAACTGATCATCGACAAGTTGAAACTTGCAGAGTGCGTCGTGAGCATCACTGACAAGGAAAGCACGTGAAACTCAAGTTTGCCTGAACCACTTTAGGCAAAGTCCGAAGTTAATTTACACTTTTCGGACATTGCCTGACCCTCATTTGGCACACCTAAGTTTGCCTAGTTGTATGCTAGGCAAATTTTGCCTAGTAAATTTTTTGTGCTCGCAAATTTTAAATTTAAAGGATATATTTATGCTGATCACTACTTTCCTGGAGTACGTCAATTTACAAGAAAGGTGATGGGGGTAATAATGAATGGTGGGAATGATTCAAATGTTGAAAGTATTAATAACAATGATGGAGAATGTAAACTTGATCATAAAGCAAGTATAATATTAATTTGTTTAACAATAAACATTCTGAATCACATATTGTATTTTTCTTTTGTACAAACATTTAAATGTTAAAAAAATAGTTGAAACTACACCAATAAATTCATCACGTATTTTCATTATATTGTTATTTGAAAAAGATAACATTTTATCTTATCTTCCCGTATATAACACCTATTTGGGATCAGTTCAATTAATTGAGTTTAGTAAGCTTTATTTCAAAATGGCTTCAGGTACAAATTTTGGTGTGTTATTTTTAATTGGTTTCTTAATAAAATCAGGAATAGCGCAGGTATGTGGCATTTAGGGGATGGTTAATTAAAATATTTTATTTATTTGCTCTTAATTAAACAGACAAGTTACAATGCTGCTGTGATCGAATATGCGAAATCGTCTGATTCAAGTGTTAGTGATTTGGACAATATGATGTTGAGACTCAGGGATTACGAATCTTTAATAAGTAATTTAAAGAGTTCTAATATTATCGTTTTTCCTGAATATGGGCTAACTACACCCTATTTGCCCGAAAATTTGGAACCTTTGAGTACTTTTGTTCCGGATCCGGCTGAAAATATTTCACCTTGTGCGACAAAAGATTCTTACGAAAAGGTAAGTTAAAGTATTAATATATATTTAACAAAACTGATCGATACATTGATAATAAATTCCGATATCTTTAATTAATTCTCAGGATTATAAAATAAATCTGTGATGTAATTTGTGCTAATTTTATTTATTTATTTGGTTTAGGTTCTGATAGATTTGTCATGTACTGCACAAACGCATGGTGTTTTCGTTGTGGTTAATTTAATCGAAAAATCTATTTCATCTTCTAACACAACAATATTTTACAACACGAACGTAGTTTTTAATGGAAGTGGAACTGTAGTTGCTAGGTATGTTCATCATTTAAAAAGAACTATTAGCAATAATAATAATTAAATCTTCCTCATTTACACAGATATCGTAAAATCAACTTGTGCAAGGAACCAAAATTTACGAAAGGAGAAAATGTTGCAACCTTTACAGCATTTGGTGTTAATTTCGGTTTAATGACTAGCTGCGATTTATTATATGAGCATCCAGCTCGTACAATGTTAACGAATACAAACGTTACGGATATTATTTATCCTCACGCGTGGGTTGCAGAAACTCCGTTCTTACACAGCCTTTCGATTCAAGATGGTTTTGCAAAGGCGAATGGCATCAATCTTTTATCTGCTACGTATAGAAATTCCTCCGATGGAATGGGCGGTTTTGGAATATTCTCTGCCAAATCTGCTACCACCTCTTTGGATATATCAACAGGAATTAGTTACAAATCTAGTACGGGAAATTTAGAAAAACTTACAAATAAAATGCCAGAAGCTGTTTGTAACAATAATATAGAGGTGATTTTTTTATTAAGTGTTTTTCTCGTTATAGGTAATAGCTATATTTAGCAATGACATTTCATGTATATCTTATCTTTTAATATCGAATTTCTAAGAATTATATAATTGCTTTCGAAACGAACCAAAAATATCTCTAATTACTATAATTTTCTCTATTTTTATTTAGATAACACCAAGAATCGGCGGAGTGCCACCTTCTATTGACAAATTCAATAATACCATAGAAAATTTGAAGTTATACACCACTAAAGATTTGGTTGTAACCGACAATATAGCCAAAGTACAAATTTGTAGTGAGGGTAGTTTATTTTGTTGCGACTTCTACGTAGAATTCCAAGATGGTTACGCTTCAAGCAACTCCCCGGTGTACAAGTAATTATTTTAAAATGTTTTCTAAATTAACAGAATTTTTATTGATATTTGTTTTTATTAATATTTTAGAGTTGCAGCTTTTTACGGTACAAAACAGGTTAATATAACCGAGAAAAATTTAGGATTTAGAACTTGCGCCCTTTTGGTTTGCGCTAATAACGATTTGCAAAGTTGCGGTGAAACACCCCCGGATTCAAGTCCCATCAAGCAAATCTCATTACAAGCAAATCTGCCAAAAGGAGATAGAACGTTGTATATGCCCTCCACTCTTAAAAAAGATCTTCATCCTCTTACTGGATATGCGTTTTGTCAAAACGTCGAAGGTGATGTTATCGGTACTACCATGTCTGCTAATAATGTTGAAAAATTATGGACATTTGGTATCGTTGGACGCGTTTACGATTTAGACGATCGTCCGGAAGGTAGAGGAACTGCAAGTTACTTTAGAAGCGGATTCGGATTAATTCTTATGTTAATTGCGACGCAGTTCTTTTTTCAATAAAAAGTTATAATAGTTAATTTGTAATTTAAAAAAAAACTTATTTTGTAACACTTTTCATAATTAATTTGAATAAACAAGTATTATTATTTTCTTATTTTTATTTAAATTAATTTGCTTTATAAATCTAATCACTTTTTTAAATTAGATAAATATAGATAAAATTCTGATATCTAGAAAACTTCAACAAGTATGCTTACACGATAATTATACCAGACATACTTTACAGATGTGTATATCAGAAATTTCATATAATTCGCAATACAGTGTGTTAATTAATTATCGTACCCGACGTCATCATTGCAAGTATGCAACCAATATCACAGTATTGGTATTGCAATACGCGATTTGCGTATTGGGTTGCATACTTGCAATGATGACGTCGGGTACGATAATTAATTAACACACTGTATATGAATGCAGTAACTATAGTTATGAAACTACTATGCACTTGCACTGTCCCACATAAAATACAACACAGCTTAATAGTACAGGCATTGGGTAGTTTTGCAAATGAAAAGTTTTACTTGGAAAAAGGTGACGTCCTTTTACCTAGAGGTTCAGATATGTGGAGTCGGAGATCATACGAGAAGACTCCGACTCCAGCTCCTTCCTGTCTACTTGAACCATCAGTGTAGATTTTAAGGCTGTTTCTTACCTCTACTTCTGTGGAACTTGGGTGGGTGAGATATTTCTTCGTAAAAATGTGTTGTAGGGGTGTGAAGTCCGGTTTACATTCAAGAATTGGTGAGTAGTCCACAATTTAATTCCAGAGAATGGCATTTTTACTATCTCTCTCACCCATTAGAATTCCTGCTGCCCATAGTCGAATTCGTTAGGTTCAACATATTTTCCATGGCTGCAGTGGGGGTAGTCCGCAGCGCACCTGTAACATACAAACACGCTGAGAGGCAGAGACGATAGCTAGGGTAAAGGTGGGTGACGAGTTAATGGATAGGTTCTGGACAACGAGGGGTTTGAGGCAGGGATGTCCACTCAGTCCCGCTCTGTTTGCCTTGTATACCGCAGACATGGAAGACAGATTGACCGGTGGGCAGATGGGAGGTGTGGTTGTAGGGAGGAGGAAGGTACATTCACTGGCTTACGCGGACGATTTGGTGGTAGTGGCGAGAGAGGCGAAGGAGATGAAGGCGATGATGCGGAGTTTGGAGAGTTATTTTAGGGGGAAGGCTCTGGAGGTGAATGTAGGAAAGACAAAGGTTATGAAGTTCTGTAAAGGGGGTTGAAGGAAGAGCGAAGACTGGAGGTGGGAAGGGAAGGAGATAGAGGAGGTGAGGGAGTACACATATTTGGGGTACAGATTTAGAGAGGACAACAAGGAAGGCGCGCATGTGAGGGCAATGGCAAAGAAGGCGAACAAGGTGATGGGGCAGGTCTGGGGGTGGGGAGAGAGATTATTTGGAAGGGATATGGGAAAAAGGAAGATGATATTCGAGTGCTTGATTAGAAGTGTTATGATGTACGGGGCGGAGCTTTGGGGGTGGAAAGAGAAAGGGCTGTTGGAAGGCGTACAGGCTAGGTATTGGAGATGGGTTTTGGGGTTGGCAAAAGAGACGCCGGAGTACATAGTCAGAGAAGAGGTGAAGGTTGATAAGTTAAGAGTGGAGGCGGGTAAAAGAGCGGTACGTTTTGAGGAGAGGGTGGAAGGGAGGTCTCAATGTAAAATTTTGGGGGAGTGCTGGAAAGAGATTAAGGCAGGGAAAGGGGGTTACGGGCAACGAGGGAGGGAGGAATATTTCAGAAGGGTGAGGTACTCAGTACTCAGGGGATTGAGATGTGGAAAGAGCTGGAGAGCAGGGATAGAGATGTACAGAGGCAAGAAAGAAGGGGGCAGATAAGGGAGAGCAGGTACAACCCTAAGTACGAGGAAATAATAACGGAGGGATTGCCGAAGTACCTGTCGGTGGAGGGGGATGAGGAGGGGAAGAGGATGGTGGCAAAATTCAGATGCGGCAATGAGGAGAGAGCGAATAGGTATTGGATGAGAGATGAGGAGAGGGGTTGTAGGCTATGTGGGGGGGAGTGGGAGTCGTTGGAGCACCTACTGAGGGAGTGTGACGAGCTAAGAGAAGAGGTGATCGGCTGGAAGTAGGTGCTGGGGGAGGGGGCAGAGGGAAGAGAATGGATGAGAGAGGTGGTGGCGACATGGCAGCGTAGGGAGATGCGGGGAGGGGTAGGATAGGAAATAAAATGTATTGTATTGTAATGTGATATATGTAATTGTAGTATTGCTAAAAATTTAATTGTTTGTGGAATGTATTGCTGATTTGGTAGCAATAAACTTAATTAATTAATTACATACAAACACGCAAGTCTCTGTACTTTATTAAGTGCAGCAGTGGATGCAGACTGTAAGGTCTTTGCCCACCATATGTAAGCATAGGTCGGATTACCTATGCTTACTCTTACCTATAGCCCTCCGGCATTGACCGAATGCAACGTACGCTTTTTTTACTCTATTATCTAGGTGAGCTCTCCATGTCATTTTATTGTCAAGTGTGATGCCCAAATATTTGACTTCTTTTGGCAACACCAATGGAGTATTAGCAAGGGACGGCATTCTGGGCTTGCTAAATTTCCTCAACCGTGTGAAAAGAGTCAACTGTGTCTTCTTAGGATTCACAGCGAGTCTTTGTTCATCACACCAAGTTTCTATCAATTTGAGCACGTTTATGTACTTGCCTTTGACGAGAATGGTTAAATCATTTGCGTAACCAATTGTAGTAAAGTTGACTTCAGTGAGGCGTTTCAAGAGGTTATCCAGGGTGAGGTTCCACAAAAGTGGGAATAGTACACCCCTTGTAGACAGCCTTGAGTAAGTCCTCTTTAGAGACTGACATCGCCAGCCCTAAGCTTAACTATCCTATGTTTAAGAGTGTTCTCAATCCCACCACAAAGAGTCGGTTGTAACAAGGCATCTTTAATACCAGAGAAAGTTGTGTCATCAAAAACACCCCTCTGTATCAATGAAAAAACCCAGGGGGGACTCCTTTAGGTCCAGCGCTCCACCAACAAAGCTGGACACCGAGTAAAGAGTCGTTAGTGTGGACTTGCTCTGAGTGTAAGCGTATTGATTAGGATTTCCTGGTTTGGTTGGAAGACAGGAATCTCTAATACAGGCGGAGTTAATCGCCATACAATTTGCCGCTGACGTTATTGTCAGATCCAACTTGGTAGGTAAGACTTTTACAGTTTACATTTACAGTAGACAAGCTATTTTAGCCCTGAGTAGAATAACAATTACCTCAGGACTTGTTATGGGTTGTCATCTGACATTGGAGAAGGCCGCAGTGCATAACTGTGTAATACTTCAATGGACAAAAGGACACTCGACTTGCTCAGGTAACAAGCACGTAGAATGGCTTGCGAAAAGGGCTGCCATGTTCGCCTGAACCGATAATCGCTCCGTCCTTATCAACTCAGATTGAGATAATTAAAGATTTTATCCACAAAAATTTTATGAACTGGTGAGATAGGGTTAAGGGCTACCATCTGTCTAAGGAAGTATTACGTTATCCCTCAGCAGAGGCTGCCTTGTCTTAAAAAAGTATAGCTGATTTACTATTTGTTTTAGTTTCTATTAAAAATTTCCTTATTCTTTGTTTATTTTAAGCATCAAATCCTGTTGTCGATTCATCAATAATAAGAAGCAATTGGAAGTGAAAAAGGGGGTCATATTTATTGTTGTTGGGCGATTATTACCCACGTAGTATATACTTGGATGGAAGATGTTGAAAATGTACATAAGTAAATTAAATTTTAGGTCTGAATAAAACTAACCTTTTAAGTTATGTAATCCGATTTTTTTAACTTGTCCACAATCAATTTATCGTGTTTTTCACTCATTTTCAAGAAAAAATAGTTATTGATTTTGAAAATTAAATCGACACAACCTCAAATGTGTTGTTTATGATGGAAGTTGTCAATTTCAAAGTACCAATTTAAGAAAAAAATAATAAATCTGGGAAACGTATAAATTTCGAGATTATGTTGCACCCAATAAATAATTAACAATTAAAAATAAACAATTAATATAATAATAGTATATAATGTAAAAAATTTAAATTAAAATCATTTAAAAAAATATTTAAATTTAGTGACATTAAATGATTTCCATTACCAACCTCACGACTGCAAGGTTTTTCGGCACTTTTCGTTTTAAAAAATCAATAATTTTCTTTAATAACACACATGAACAAAACTCCTCGTTTTTTAGCGAATATAAAAGTTTTGGGGACCACTTTGAAAATTGACATGCACTTTTAATGAAAAATTTTCCATTCAAAAATAATTTAACTCATTTCGAATTTCAAGGTTGGTAGTAACGACAGAAATTCCCTGCTAAATTAGGTTATGTTTTTAATTTTTTATAAATATTTACGCAATAGCAACATATCGAAAAATATCGAATCGTTCAGGAAAATATCGAATTTTATCTTTAGCTTTTCACGCTAACCTAAAGAGAAGAAATTTGGTTGGAAGCCGTAAATTTATAATCAAAAAATCACGAATAGAAACGAGCAGAGGCTATTGAAAGCTCGGGGGTTCAGCCTCAACCCCAAGAGTTATGATGAAAAGTGCTGTATTCACATGGTACATGATTATAACAAATACAAGTACAAAATTTCTTCTATAACATGATTCTTTTGAATCATTTGATTAAATCATTTAATGAAGGATTAAATTTAGACAATGTTTATTTCAAAATAGTGGATATAACTTCGTGTGTTAAGATATTTTTTGAATAAATATGTTGTTTTATAACATTTGAATAAATAAATTTATATAAACTTATCAAGAATAATTTATCAGAAATTCTTAAATTGAGCTGAGTCATTACTGAACTCTCACAATTAGTAAGGTTATGTTATAAATCTAATCAACATTCCGATTTTACTGTAAGTAGTTTAATAAATCATCATTAATAAACTTTAAATCTAATTTATTAAAACTATTTGAACCTTTCAAACTATAAATATTACTGTTTTAGATGATTCCCTCAATAATAAATGTGCAATCTGTTTTGGTTGAACATGCATATGGTGGTAAAGTTTACGCAAATTCAGGATGTCTTATAGATAATAAGTTTATTCTTATAACTGCCAACGTTCTTGTGCCATTATTGAACGAATCTAAAAGCGACTTACGATCAATACCATTCGGTTTATTGAACCCTTTGAGATTTTTTGATAAACCTCCCAAGTTAACAATTATTATAAAAAACGAGGACAGTCGCAGCCATCAATACAAAGAAGCTTTAGTAGTTGCCGCTTATGTCAGTGAGATTACAAAAAAATCTGTTTCAAAATATTTATATGATTGGGCAATAGATGTTGATGGTAAAGAGGACCAATTAAAAGAATCGATTCCAATATTTTTTATAGCTAGTTTCAATTTTAAAAATGCTCCGAATGCAAATGAACTTTTGGATTGTTTAAAAAGACTTAAGTTACAATCTTTACAAACAACCCTGTCTGCTGGAAATAAAGTATGTATCGAAAGTACTCCATTTGGTAACAGACACTTTTTAAGGAGTCATAGTAGAGGGATTATTTCTAATGTGACGGGAGAAAATGACTGTTTTTTATTAACTGATGTCCCTGTTGCCCCTGGTAGTGAAGGAAGTCCTGTTTATACAAAATTTGGGTAAACAAAAAGTTGATTAATTAAAACATAAATTACATTATAAGTAATCTCGTTTAAGAAATGATGAAATTCCAATTGGTATGGTTTTATCTTGTATGAGCTGGTGGAAAGGGGAATGGATTGGTTTAACTTTGGTAGCATCTTTTAAAAGTGTTTTTAATGAAATTTTATCCAATACTACATTTAAAATTCCATTAATTTCTGAGGCCCATATGAATGAAACAATAAGTATTTATTTATATACAGGATGTTTCTAAATTGATGCGAAAGATTTCAAGAGGCGATTTTTCATCGAAAATTAAGAGGTGTCTCATATAAGTTTTTGTTCAAAACCCCTTCTCCAAGATAGCCCTCTAAAGTTAAGGGAAAAAATCTGCAACTTTCTTATCTCTTAACATTTTACAACAAACAAATTGTTAGTTTGATCACAAAAAATAAAATAATGCTGAAATCAATTTTTGACTAATAATACCAATCTTTGAATTAATTCACTTGAGCCTGTGTATTATTTTATTTTTTGTGATCAAACTAATAATTTTAGGAGAAAATGTCAAAAGATAAAGAAGTTGCGTATTGATCAAGTTTATCTATTTAAATCAAGTTTTTAAATAGAAAAACGTGGACGCATTAAAAAGTTCTAATTGAAAGTATTGTAGGGGTTATTATAAAGTGTCATTTTATTAGCAACAGTTATCTGCCAAATTTCATTCTTCTAAATTCCTCCATAATGGATTTATTAAATAAAAACAATTTTTTCCCCTAACTTTAGAGTGCTTTAACTCGGTGGGGAATTCATTTGTAATGAAAAATCACTCCTTGAAATCGTTCGCATCAATTTAGAAACACCTGTATATTTTTATTTTTATAAAAAGTTTATTTGTTATAATTTTTAGAAAAGCTTAATACAAATGTTGCACAAATAACAAGTGGAATGTTTTGGGGGACAGCGATTTTATTAAATAAAGAAAATGGCATTTTTATAACAAATTCTCACGTAATAGTAAGTGCAATTAAAAGAAATTTTGATTTTAAACATTAATGCTCTACTTATTAATAGGAAAACGATTCACCCGTTTTACATTATAAAGAAACCAATATAAAAGCGACCGTAATTTACAAAGCGAAAGAAAATCAAATTTTTGACATTGCTATTTTACGCGCCAATCAACACGACCTCGATCATACTGACATGGTGTCTGTAAAGCTATCACCGAAACCAATGAATTTAGGAGACAACGTTTTCGCATTAGGGTTTCCACTTTTTCCAAGACACACCAAACCAAAAGCGACACTTACAAATGGTCATGTATCTCAGGTTTCTAAAACGATGTTAAAAACGACTTGTACAGTTTTGCCAGGAGCTAGTGGTGGAGGAATTTTCGATAAAAACGGGGAACTTGTAGGAATCATTGTATGTAATGCTAAAATGGAAGATAGTTCTACTACATATCCTAGAGTTAATATGGCGATACCAATATCTCGAATTTATGATGATTTAATCGAATTTCTAACAAAGAAAGGTGAGATAGCCACTAAAAGAGTGGCTGCAAAAACTGTTCCTAGGTTTTGATCAAAATCATTATAGATGACTGATTTAAAGATTAGATTCTACCATCTTTATACAGGGTGGTTCAGTTTTTTTGGGAAACTTTACTAGAATGTAGGATGATTTTCGAGCTATAAGCGATCAAAGTTGAGAAAAAAATTTACATTATGTTTTGTATTTCGGCTGTAAGTAAACCGAAAAATTTGAAACTTTATACGTATTTACTACTTGGTTAAGACCTTATTTTCAAGCATACCTTAAACGTCCCTAGCGCCCTCTAAGGGGATGAAATTCACCACCCCCTTGATTTTTTTTATAATAACTTTTTAACGCTATGGAATATTGATATAAAAAAATATGGGTTGTAAAGCTTGTTCTTTACTGGTACTTTTTTGTCTCTTTAGTATTTTCCTTAAAGTTAATAGTTTCCATGTAAAAAAATAAAATATCGTGCTATGTGCCGCCATGTTTAGCTAAAATTATTCTAAAAGTTGGCTCTGAGAACTTGTAAGTTTCATTTACGGTGAATCCTCATAATTGTTGATGATTATTAATAATTTTTGACTGTTATTAAGCAAGAGTATCAATTTTGTAATATTGTTTAAAACAACGTAATTTGTTCAGACAGACATTCATCTTATTTATCTTTTTCTTATGAAAATCACAATTAATTGGTGTTATATGAAAGGGGTTGTAAATTTCATCCCTTTAGAAGGCGCTAGGGAAGTTTAAGGTATGATTGAAAATAAGGTATTAACCGGTAGTACATACATACAAAATTTCAAATTGTACGGTTTACTTATACCAGAAATAAAAGATAAAATGTAAATTTTTGGCTCAACTTTGACAGCTCATAGCTCGAAAAGAAAAGAGTTCCGACCCTATGTTTATATAAAAAAGTTGTATTATTTTGGAAAGTATTACGTCCTAGTAAAGTTTCCCGATTAAAAAAGGAACCACCCTGTATATCACAGTTTTTCAAAATTTACTGAAAATAATGTAATGGTTGTTGAATTTAATGATGTGTTGGTTAGATCTCATTACATCAATTTTTTTGCATTTGAACCTGGGTGAGGTAAGATAAACAAACTGCATAATTCAATAGAATGGGATCCATAAACCGTAATTTAATTAAAATTTGTGTCAATTGCAAAAGGGAATAATTGTTCTACAGCAGCAGAAGAGGGCAATATTGAATTACATTTTACGAATTTTCCACTATTGTAATATTAGGTCTATAATCGTTTAGATATTTTATTATTTCGAATTCATATGTATTGGTTGTCCTTTGAAGAAAGTTTTTCTTTANTATGAGTCATTATGTAGAAAAGTAGCTGATCTATTAACAAAAATCTATTTTATTTTTTTCGCTTTAACATCCTGTATCTCAGTAAGGAGCAGACTAAGACCCATTATTGTTAATGAAAATATTATTATTTTGGCCTCCTGAACGTACATTTACAATTTGGCCCATTACTTATGAATCACCCTGTATGTACTTTTCTAATACGTACAGTGTGTTAATTAATTATCGTATCGATCGTACCCGACAAAGTATGCAACCAATATCACAAATTGGTATTGCAACGCGTCGAAAGTTCCTAAAAACGATGGCGACAATTCATTCACTTTATAAGTCGTTTAAAGTGTATTTAGATATATTTTAATAATTAAGAGAATGTTTTAAATATAAAAAAAGGTCTATCTTTCTGTTTTTTTATTTGAAATAATTTTTACTGTACCCATGATAGAAATTAATGTTGAAAGTAGTGGTTATTTTGATTAGTTTATTGACTTACCGCTTAAAGCAACCGCTAGAAACAACTATAGTTTTAAAAAGAACTGTTTCGAAAAATATAAAGGCAGCAAAAAACGGTTAAAAAACAAAGAAAATACAGAAACTCACAAAGCGTACGACAATCACAACAATAACGTTCGAGCAGCTGTCATCGTGGTTACAAATTTAAAACTATCCAAGCTACCACTATATATTGAGATATGCAGCCAATATTACACAGGTCACGTGGGTTACGATAATTAATTAACACTGTATATACAGTGTCCGCCAAAAAGTCAGCAACACCCGTTTCATTTCTGTTCCATTGTATCTACGTTTCTGAAATTTAGTTTATATAGGAGGTTCATACCGATCTTTTGATCTAAAGTGTTTTCAAGATGGTGGCCATTTCCGATCCCCCGGAAGTAGACCACAACCAAGGTTTCTATATAACACGTACAGTGTACGTATAAAATTGATTCCTTGGAATATTTTAATGAGTTTATCATAAAGTATCAATTAAAGTATCTACTTTCCAATAAACAAATCCGTTTTGTTAAATAATTTGTAGTTATGGAGAAATAAATATTTGAATTTTAATCAAAATTTCGACTCCAACAATTTTCACCGATTAATTTCAAAAAATCGTATAAAATGAATTCCTTGGAATATTTTAATGAATTTATCATAAAGTATCAATTAAAGTATCTACTTTCCAATAAACAAATCCGTTTTGTAAAATAATTTGTAGTTGTGGAGAAATAAATGTTTGAATTTTAATCAAAATTTCGACTTCAACAATTTAATTTCAAAAAATCGTAT